CATTGGGGAAGGAGGAAAGCATGGATGTGGATGCATATAAACTTGTTAAGTTTCCTGCTGTTCCAACTCCTCGAATCTCAATTTCTCTTTCTTTCATAGATTTGAAACAGGGATGAAAAGTACCTGTGTCACCAGGTTGCTAACTTGGACTTCTGTTGGCTAGAGGGGAGAAGGAAGACCATCCTTCCACTTTACTATTGAAATACAGGTTTCTAAGACACAGAATGGGCTGGGGAAGTCTTTCTGGTACTGTTCTGGCATGGATGATTTTCAACCACTTTTGAAGGATTCACACAGTTACCAAAGGAAATGAACATACCCCTTGGTGGTATGTGCTGGGATAAATATGCATTTATAGAAAAGGTTGAGTGTAAAGATAATCTGTAAAATATTCAGCTATGGGTGATAGAGCTCGTGATATGCAATATTTCTTTTTAAGCAGTCATCTAGAATATGGGGTCAGCAAACTACAGCCGTCTGCCTGTTTTTAAAATAAAGTTTTGTTGGGAACATTGCTGAGAAATAACCACATCTGCTCTTGGTATGTCTGTAGCAGCTTTTACACTACCGCACCAGGGTTAAATGGTTGTAGCAGAGACTATATAACTTATAAAACCTAAAATATTTACTATTTAGCTCTTTTCAGGACAAGTTTGCTGACCTTTTGTCTACAATAATAAGGCAGTAAGGACTTGGAAAATTTTTTTCAGAAAAAGAGAAATTAAGATGCTAAAACTGTGAAAGGAATTAGAAAAGTGGAAGCTATTTAGGATATGTTGCTAAATGGAAATATCACTTTACAAACCTATATAGTTTATACCTTAATCTCATTTTTATTTTTAAAAGTTTATATAAAAATGTTATCATTTCTGAATGGTGAGATTACAGTTGATTTTTATTTTCTTACTGGCTCTCATGTGTTTTCTGCTTTTTCTACAGTGAACATGTGTTAACTCTATCACTAATAAAATCTTCTAGTGGTAGAATAGGATGAGACATAGAAGCCAAAATGAATTAATTAGGAAGAACAGAGAGTGTGTCAGGGTTCGACAAAGATGAGACTCCTGGAAGATGGGTAAAGAAAATGCTTCTTGTTGGTTACCAAACAGTTGGAGAAATTTGTAGATGACGTCTCTAATAAACACTTTCAATTCCCTCAATTCCTTATTTGACCAGCCTCTGATAGGAGCACTACCCTATAATAGTTTGCCACAAAAAAGAGAGAAAGTAGAGGTTTCTAAGTTATAAATTACATTTGACTTTGTCACTCATTTCCATAGATTCAGAATTTTAAGTTTGGTTTATGGAGATGTTTTTCATTTTTGTGACCTGTAGATAATGCTTTATATTAGTGGTTTATATTTAATTTGAAAAATTAAATTATTTAGCTGTGAATAAAACCTATAATTATTTGAGGGTTTGTTTTGTAGGCAATCACAATTGTGCTTTTAAAAAAAGGTGAACAGCTTTTATTTGGGCAAAACTAAGTCAGGAATTACAGAAAGTAATTTTTTCAATGAAGTACTGTTATTAACCAGATAAGATGTTAAGTAATTTTATTGTGATATTCCATTCAACATCTGCATTGTAGCAGTACCCAGATGCTCACTATGAAGTTCAGTGGATTTTGACAAACATTAAATTGACTTCAGGGGCTGCACTATGCTAGGAGTCATCGAAAATAGAAACCAGTTTTTACCAAATCTCATCTCTTAAGTCACATATTTTTATTTAACGTATCACTCTGAATGGTATTTATTATCTCTATAATGACTAAATCATTTGTTTAGAGCAATCTCAAGACTGAAGCTTAGACTATAAACTGCTGACTGGCAGATAAATTGTCATGCAAAACAAACATAAAACCAAGCAAAAAAATAACCCCCAGAATGTTTGTTCTCTTTGTCCTTTAAAATGAGTAAAATGAGTCAATAGACTGATGGTTAACTATAATTAAAATGTAACTTGTAAGAGGAATTTTTATGTAACCTCATTAAGAAAAAAAAAGTGAATGAGCTTTAGAACCAGAATACGTGTAGATACAGATGGATTTTTACATAAAGTGTAAAATTCAAGCCCGTGTGTCAAATATGAAACTAATTATATAAAATTATTCAGTAATATATTTATAATTAAACACATGCATAGACATATGTATATACACACATATATGTCTGTATATTTATGTATGTAAATTGTATCCCATCTATTCTACAATTATGACAATGAATAAAACAATGATTTTGAATGAAAGTTTTAGTAAGGATTATATTTAAAAGAAATTTGCTGTTACTAAACTGCAGTATGTTTTGGGATTACCTTAAAGGGAAGTGGTAGAAGTCCTGCTCTTTGATATTTAACAAAGCACTGAAGAAATCTACACAATTGTTGGAAGCAAACTACACTGTCATAGATGTACAAGGTGCTCTAATAGATCTTATCCATATCTGACATTTATTATTCAGGTTGGTTTTAAACATAATGTAGACCAGAATCTGTTTTTGTTGCTTATGTAAGCACCCTCTCTTTTTTTTTTTTAAATTAATGTGCTTCTCATTTATTCAGGAAGTCTCTAATGGCATTTGAGGAGAGTAAACTTATTAGCTTCCTTCCTGAGTAATGCAATTTTTATTTCTTATCAAAATTGTGGTCTCAGCCAAAAACCAGTGTTGGATGGAAAGAAGGAATAAGGAAGGAAGAATGGGAGAGAGGAAAGGATGGGGAGGGAGTGAGGGAGTGATAGAAAGAGGAAAAATTGAAAATAAGGGTTAGCTATACATATAATTCATTTGTATAAAAATTAATTATAAATTGTTCTGCCAGAACAAGATCCTGTCATTGTCTCCTTTCTACTCCCTGCTGCCATAATGATATCATTTTATTTGTATATAAATAAATGAAACAATAGGTATATTTTTGGTGATACAGTTACTGAATTTCTGAGTAAATGAAACATAAAGTTGTTCTGGTTATACTTAAAAATTTTTTTATATGACTGCTGGAAAATAGCTATCTCAGAGCTTTTTCTAAGTTAACTTCTGTAATGCTGTGTATTAATGTTATGAGTAAGAAAAATATCCTGAACAAATCTAGGATATGGCTAGTAGGGTAGTAAATGGAAAAGTTCAGTGGCAGTGTATCAAAAATCTTGTTGTGGAAAGAAGAGTTTAGGCAATTGAAACTATATATTTGATATAACTATTATATTAAAAGCTAGAGAAGGTAATATCTAAAGTTTTAGCTGACAGGTATACAAAAGGTGGAGTGAAAAGGTCTGTTAGAGCGATGGATTTTAAAGGCTGGAGAACCCTGCTCTGAGGTATTAAAGTGACAGTTTCAAAATCATTCTTAGAGTTTTGAATGGTATCTAGTATGAGTAGTCTTTCCAAACTAGTATAATGCTACAAGTATTAGGTTGCATGCCACTCTTCATTTGTCAAAGATCAAGTGTCTAGTTCATTTTCATGACATTGCTTTCAAGTTTTCTTCTACATGAAGTGAGGAAAAAGTAAAACCAATATTTTGGAGGGTTTTACTCTTCACCCTTCTAAAATAAATCCTCTTAAATATTCTCATATTTTTAGAATTAATCTCTCAGCTTTTGTGACATATGCAAATCTGAAAGTTGTCTTCAATTCAGTCACTCAGTCGTGTCTGACTCTCTGTGACCCCATGGACTGCAGCACACCAGGCCTCCCTGTCCATCACCAACTCCTGGAGCCTACTCAAACTCATGTCCATTGAGTCGGTGATGCCATCCAACCATCTCATCCTCTGTCCTCCCCTTCTCCTCCCGCCCTCAATCTTTCCCTGCATCAGGGTCTGTTCAAATGAGTCAGCCATTCACATCAGGTGGCAAAAGTATTGGAGTTTCAGCTTCAGCATCAGTCCTTCCAGTGAATATTCAGGACTGATTTCCTTTGGGATGGACTGATTGGATCTCCTTGCAGTCCAAGGGACTCTCAAGAGTCTTCTCCAACACCACAGTTCAAAAGCATCAACTCTTCGGTGCTCAGCTTTCTTTATAGTCCAACTCTCACATCCACACATGACTACTGGAAAAACCATAGCCTTGACTAGATGGACCTTTGTTGGCAAAGTAATGTCTCTGGTTTTTAATATGCTGTCTAGGTTGGTCATAACTTTTCTTCCAAGGAAAAGTTGTCTTAGAGAAAATAAAATATAAAAGGTATTTAGAAAGATGAGGGTAGTGAGTGTAGGAATATGTATTATGTGCACATTCTATCATGGCTCTGTTGTACCTTATAATACATTTTGTGAGCAAAGTCAATTCAGTATTGCTGTTAATCAAATGAGAGAGTTTAAGTGACTCACCCAAGACCACACAGAAATTGTGTTAGGGCTGGATGATCACTGGCCTGGAGTGAGAATTCCAACTTTCTCAGCAGAGCTGAGAATCAGCAGTAATGTGGTCTCATCATTACCAGTCTTCCATGAACTCCTGCTGTGCTCCAGGTCCTCATCCTGGCAGTTTTGTATCTCCATCAGAAGCTGTGACCTATTTTTAATGTTGCCTTTTCAAGGGAAGACATAGTATTGCATACTATGCTACATATATTGGTGCAAAAAATAGATGAAAAATTTATGAATTCTGAGTCTACTTTGCATGTGCAAGCTCTTTATAATTACTAAACGTCTATCACCATTCAAGTCATAAATTAACTAAAAAATTAAACTCTTCCAAACAGTGCTGATTCTACCATCGCCTTCCCTACAAGCACACCTTTATGTTATTTTCTGTAATTTTATTTTACTTGTTTTGAGTATGTAAAATCTCTGGTTTCCTCATATAGTTTCTGACTATAATTAAATCTGTGGTTGATTCCATTTCTTAAATATGGATATTTATTTTAAATATATACTTTGTGAAACCAATTCAGCCATGTGACAAGGACTAAACATACTTTATAGACTGTTGTTTGCTTATGTATCACTAAATACAAGAATTAACACAGATATTCACATATTCACAGACTTACCCAGCTAACATTATTAGCTTCATGCTAGCCAAGCAGGAGCCGCTGGTTCGATCCTCAAATCGGGAAGATCTCCTTGAGAATAAAATGGCAACCCACTCCAGTAAAATGGCCTGCTCCAAGTTCTTTGAAGTTCTCTGAAACTTAACAACTACCATATAAAGCATAATCACTTTAGAAATATTTAATAGTAGCCAACATTTTAATAGTCTTATAGGTATTTTTTAAGAGTACACATGATATAAAAAGGAAAATGACATAAAATAAATTATTATTCTAAATTTAATAGAGTATACATTTTTAAATTCTAGAAAACTTAATTTTTTGTATGGTTTCAGTACTGAAAAAAAATTACTGAATCCTGTAATTGACAAGTGACCTTCAAAAAAATTCCAGTAAGATTTGAGTGCTTTACTGGAAGAAATTCTGTTATATTCCTTTATGGAAAAGGATACTTTTACTAAATAGTAGAGTACAAGTAGATAATTGTCTTAGAGAGTCATTTGTTGTTCAAGTGTTCCCATTTCAAGAGACTGATTCTAGAATTCCAGAATTTTATAGGTTAACTCAGTATAAAACAAGCATTTGCATTTCTGAAAGTTTTAAAATTATGAGTATAATAAAACTGCAAAAGTGGATACAGAAGATGCTTCACTTGAAATACTATTAATTAGAAAACCTGGTGCTTATGCATGTATTAAATATCTTCTGAATACAGAATCATCAAATTTATTATTATGAAACAGATACATATACTTAAGAAAAATAAGGTCTTGTTTATCTAATTCCTGAAACCAAATGTATTTGAAGATGTAGTAAGATAATACAGAACAGAAAAATCTTAGAGGCTAGTTAATTAGCTGTTTTTATAGTAAAAAGAAATTGATTCCTAGTTAATTATAATAACATGAGCTTACTTTGTATGATTACTATTCTTACAATAAAATATGATGCCTATATTTTGGAAACTCAAAATAAGTCTTTATCCATGATCATGAAATATAAATAAAAAGGCATATCCTGAAATTATATATACAGGTTTAAGTCAAGTAGACTTTGTTGATCATGTGAGATATATATAAAGAATCAAACTGTCCCATTCAGCTCAGTTAAGAACTAAGGGTTAGTTTGAAGATTTAAATCATTTGTACAAATTCAGAACAAAGGTTAAGTAATGAGTCAATGTGATATTTTTATCCTTCTTTTAAAATCTTTAAACTGTTGCTTTTCATTTTCTCATTAATTAAACTTCTTTGATAAAACAAATTGGGATAATTTAATATGTTGTTTTTATAACACGATTTATTTAACACCTATCTATTAAGTCTAAGGTGCTGAATCAGATTTCATTAGATAATGAGAGTGTAAGACATTATTGTGGTCTCCATGGAATTTGCAATATGGAGTCAAGACCCAAACACAAAAAGTTAAAAGAAATTAATGTTAGACTTCAAATATTAAAATATCATCAAAAGCATAGTTATGCTTTCCAAATTGGAAAGTAGATTTGGAGTATAAAATACAGGTAACTACTAATTAATGTTCAAGTATAGCAACAAAGGCTAAAAATTAATTTGCATTGAAGTTTAATTAGTATATCAACAAGCAAGAGTAAATATATCAGAGATATTCTTTCATATCTTTGAGCTGTGAATCTGCACAAGTGGAGATTGGAAGGATGGATATGGGGAACTATAACATAAAAAAGAAGGGGACTTGGTATCCTCTCAAGAGAAGACCGCTGTCTCAGAAACGAAATCACAGAAAAGGAGGATAAATATACCAAATCCTATTGACCTTAAGATTATGACTTCTTATGGTACTTTACTAAATCAAAATGTAAGTATTCAGTAAAATCACTATCATAATAATCTCTAATTATGTGTTCTTTTAGTAGATATTTCGATAGATACTGTCAAACCCCATTTGTATATAGGATAATGATGTAGGCATTGTTCTTTCCAAGGGGCCTACAGTTCTCGCTTGGTGGAGCAGATGCATGTACAAAACAAGAATGGGATATAGGATATATGTAGGAAGATAGTTCAGAACAAGGAGGGTCATATTATAGCTTAAAAAACAGACCATTTAGATAAATAGGATTCATGGAAGATATTTCGATTTATCACTGATACGTTTAGAGCAGAGATGTTTCACAGCGTGATCTGACATTGTCAGAGGAAATGAGGGATTGATTGATGAAGAGAGAGAAAGAAAGATCAAATGCTGTTTTATTTCAATGGTTCAGTTAAGATGAAAAACAAAGTTATAGGTTATAGGACAAAGTTATAGGTTAAAAGGACAAAGATGATTTTGAAAAATTTGAAAATTTAAGATCTTTAAACCTTGAAACCAAATAGTGACTCAGCAGTTAGAAATTTTGATAACTTTAAAAAAATATGGTATACCTTGCTTATCAAGCATCTAGCTTAGTCTTTCTCAGATGAAAATGAATATAATGCTAGTTAAGTATGTATAGAAACTCAGCTTATAAAACTACCTTCCTAATATTAAACATTTTAAAACATTTCAAGGATTACATGAGGAAGAGAAGGGAAGGATAGTTTTTACTCATTTCCCTTTAATTTATACAGATGTCATTGAGGAACACTCTTTGGGCAGAAGTAATGTACATTAGATCCATAGTTAAAACATTTTCTAAGAACTGTAAGCCTGGTCTAGTACTATCTGAACATATATTTCTTGATAGGCCTTACTTCTTTCTTTGGTCAAGATTTGCCCTTACTAAAACTCCAGAGTATATGAGTGATGATTAATCTAGCTGAGAATGCCAATCTATTCCAGTAAATTGTAAGAGAATTCTTTTTGAGTGATTTTTGAGAAAATGTATATACTCAGACTCTACAGAATGTATTGTGACATTTAAAATTTTACGTTTATAAGATTGGCATGGTGTTAGGCAAATTTATTTTGTAAAGTCACTTTTTATAAAAATAATTGAATTATACATCTGCTGGTTTTTCTATTCTTCAGTAGCCTGTTCAATAGTTACCATGGAGTCATAATATTTTACTAAATTTAGTGAAGAGGAGAAATGGAAATGACACTTGTTCTAAGAAACTTAAGGTCTTTGTAACAAAGACCAGCAGTTTTATCTTGGAACATATATGAAGAATTCTGCTAATGAAAAGTTTTATCCCTTAGATCTCAAAGACCTGTTACTATAAATGTAACAAGCCTAAAAAGTACTAAAGCTCCTGAAAGTTAAGGTTTAAGACACTGAGAAAGTGTTCACACATCTTGTGGTAGTAGACATTTTCAAAATTCACCTAAAAATTGACTTCTATATCAATATAATAACTCAAACTGTATAGCAGTTTGGCTTAAAGACTTGATTGGTTGAGGTATATAATAATCAGTCTAAAAAACATCATTATACAGAATAGGTTAGTGATGATGAATGCAAGCTTTGAAATAAGAACTGAATTTAAAGTGATTTTGATACATAGGAGCTTGTAATTTGGCCAAACTGGATAGTACATTTGTGCCATAGCTTATCTGTAAAATGGGAAACATAATGCTATTCATGGCTAGCATAATGATTAAGTAAGATCATGTGATTAAATGAGATCATATAAAGCACTTGGCACATACAAGGCCTAACAACCAGTACGTGCTCAATAAATGGTAGCCATCGTGCTTATTTTTTTAATTCTTTTTTCCATTTATTTTTATTAGTTGGAGGCTAATTACTTTACAATATTGTAGTGGTTTTTGCCATACATTGACATGAATCAGCCATGGATTTACATGTATTCACCATCCCGATCCCCCCTCCCACCTCCCTCTCTACCTGATCCCCCCTCCCACCTCCCTCTCTACCCGATCCCTCTGGGTCTTCCCAGTGCACCAGCCCCAAGCACTTGTCTCATGCATCCAACCTGGTCTGGTGATCTGTTTCACCCTTGATAATATACATGTTTCGATGCTATTCTCTCGAAACATCCCACCCTCGCCTTCTCCCACAGAGTCCAAAAGTCTGTTCTGTACATCTGTGTCTTTTTTTCTGTTTTGCATATAGGGTTATCATTACCATCTTTCTAAATTCCATATATATGTGTTAGTATACTGTATTGGTCTTTATCTTTCTGGCTTACTTCACTCTGTATAATGGGCTCCAGTTTCATCCATCTCATTAGAACTGATTCAAATGAATTCTTTTTAATGGCTGAGTAATATTCCATGGTGTATATGTACCACAGCTTCCTTATCCATTTGTCTGCTGATGGACATCTAGGTTGCTTCCATGTCCTGGCTGTTATAAACAGTGCTGCGATGAACACTGGGATGCACGTGTCTCTTTCAGATCTGGTTTTCTTGGTGTGTATGCCCAGAAGTGGTATTGCTGGGTCATATGGCAGTTCTATTTCCAGTTTTTTAAGAAATCTCCACACTGTTCTCCATAGAGGCTGCACTCGTTTGCATTCCCACCAGCAGTGTAAGAGGGTTCCCTTTTCTCCACACCCTCTCCAGCATTTATTGCTTGTAGACTTTTGGGTAGCAGCCATCCTGACTGGCGTGTAATGGTACCTCATTGTGGTTTTGATTTGCATTTCTCTGATAATGAGTGATGTTCAGCATCTTTTCATGTGTTTGTTAGCCATCTGTATGTCTTCTTTGGAGAAGTGTCTGTTTAGTTCTTTGGTCCATTTTTTGATTGGGTCATTTATTTTTCTGGAATTGAGCTGCAGGAGTTGCTTGTATATTTTTTAGATTAATCTTTTGTTGCTTTGTTTGCTATTATTTTCTCCCAATCTGAGGGATGTCTTTTCACCTTGCTTATAGTTTCCTTTGTTGTGCCAAAGCTTTTAAGTTTAATTAGGTCCCATTTGTTTATTTTTGCTTTTATTTCCAATATTCTGGGAGGTGGGTCATAGAGGATCCTGCTGTGATTTATGTCGGAGAGTGTTTTGCCTATGTTCTCCTCTAGGAGTTTTATAGTTTCTGGTCTTACATTTAGGTCTTTAATCCATTTTGAGTTTATTTTTGCATTAAAATATGGTGTTAGAAAGTGTTCTAGTTTCATTCTTTTACAAGTGGTTGACCAGTTTTCCCAGCACCACTTGTTAAAGAGGTTATCTTTTTTCCATTGTATATTCTTGCCTCCTTTGTCGAAGATAAGGTGTCCATAGGTTCGTGGATTTATCTCTAGGCTTTCTATTCTGTTCCATTGATCTATATTTCTGTCTTTGTGCCAGCACCATACTGTCTTGATGACTGTGGCTTTGTAGTATAGTCTGAAGTCAGGCAGGTTGATTCCTCCAGTTCCATTCTTCTTTCTCAAGATTACTTTGGCTATTCAAGGTTTTTTGTATTTCCATACAAATTGTGAAATTATCTGTTCTAGTTCTGTGAAAAATACCGTTGGTAGCTTGATAGGGATTGCATTGAATCTATAGATTGCTTTGGGTAGTATAGTCATTTTTACAATATTGATTCTTCCAATCCATGAACATGGTATATTTCTCCATCTATTTGTGTCCTCTTTGCCTCGTGCTTATTTTTAGTAAGATCAGCTGGGTTTATACTTAAGCATTCTCTTTAAAAACTATTCAAGGCAAAAGGAAAGTTAAGTGAATTTTGTTTGTCCACCAAGAATGGAATGGACTTTATATTCTAGGACCATAGGTTCTTTGCCATAGCATGACAAAGAAATTAAAAATAAAATACTCTGTTTTCTTACAGATCAGTTTTTCTCTTCCTGTCTCTTCTGCAACACTTGTGGTGTCAAATTAAAGATTTTGTATTAACACCATTTTCCCTCCTAGTTTTTAGTATATGTTGCTTTTTTGCATTATACAAGAATTATTACAACGTTTGTACCAGCTGCCCTGCTGTGCCCCTGAAAACACAAAATGTGTTTTATTCATTGTTATATTTCCCAGAGTACATCACAACTAATACACACTCAACAAGTATCATAAATGAATCCCCTGAACCTCACTTATTTCATATACTACGCCTGAGAGAGCTACTTGTTTCTTTATCAGCTTAATCAGAATAAACTATGTGGTTATGTTTTCAGACTTCATTCAAAATCCTAATTCTTTCTATGACTATCATTATTATTATTACTACTACTACTTCTATTACTACTCCTTGAAATATTTTTATACTTTAGTCAAGTGGTTATAAAACAATTGTAAATTTCAGTGCCTTATTATAGTAAAAATTTGTTTCTTGCTTAGGATGGTTAAGGGTGGGTAGGATTGTCAGATAAAATACAGGATGCCCAGGTAGAATGACATTAGCATACTGGTAGCATAAGGCAACCCTCATTTTTATCCCCGCAACTTCAAAAACAAAAGTCTGACATCCATCCATTAACTCAGTGGCATCATTAACTCGATGGACATGAATTTGAGCAAACTCTGGGAGATGGTGAAAGACAGAGAAGCCTGTCTTGTCCATGGGGTCACAAAAAGTCAGACACCACTTAGTGACTAAACATTAACAGAAATACCTCTGTGGGAGTTGTGGAATCCAGCAGCCTCACCAACCAGTGCATGGGGTAATAGGTAATCGACTTGGGTACCAGCTGTGGAACTTGCAGGAGACTGTGAACCAACTCTGGACACTCTTGGCTGCAGTCTCAGAGCACCTGCAGAACAGAGATGAGAGAGCCTTTGTGAAAGTCCAGGTTTCCAAAACCCTATTAGAGATGGGGGAGAAAAAAAAGAGTCTGGCTGCATTGAAGTGGGTAAGAGGAATAGCTCCTCTCTGCCAACATCATTCCTCCTCCGAGGCGGCGCAGTTTAGGGCTACGCTGGACAGCTGGCACCTGTGTGGGACACGCCAGAGACACACATTCCTCTCTCACAACATCCGGAGCATTAAAGAGGGAGCTTCATGGCTCAGGGAGGAAGCAGAGTAGAAGAGCAGCATAACATTCCCAAAGGGCATTAGCAGGATAAACCTGCTGACCGTGTTCTGGACTCCATTAGGACAGTCACCCACCAGCCGAAGGGAAAACTTCACCCATGGATCCCTTCAACTGACTGGTGGACATCCCCAGTGTATGCATGCCAGACCCACACCTCTCCCCATTCTGTCGCTGTCTCCCTGGGTGGCTCCCAAGGGCTGCTGTGAGAGCGAGCACTGGTAAGCAAGCAGCTCACTCGGACAGTAGACCAGGGTCTATGGGCAATGGAGAAATAATAAACTTGAGCTGAGGTGCCACCTTCAAAAAAAAAAAAAGGAGCTATTAGCATCTGGCCTGGTACATTGTAGAATCTGAAGCAGACCAGCTTAAGAATTCAACCACCGGAGGGAGCAAGAAGTGTGGAGCATTTGCGTCCATAGGTCAAAGAATACCTCGGGATCTGTATCAGGACTGATACAAGGTATTTCTACTCTAAAGAGAGTTAATAAAAATTGGAGAAGGTGACTTCTATTTTAAATGCAAGGAAAACTTGAAGGAATGTGAAAAATCAAAATCATGACATCACCAAAAGATCCCAGTAATCTTCTAATAAGCAAATCCAGAGACATGGAGATTTGCAATTCACCTGATAAAGAATTTCAAAATGGCAGTTTTAGGAAAAACTCAGTGAACCATTCTTCTTATCAAACAGACTTTGTCTTTTCAAGTGTGCATTTTCAACATAAACTTGGCCATGTATATTCCTNTAAATAAAACCTCCACTTGACTGTCTTATTCCTTTTAACTACCTTATGATTTCTGTAGTGTCTTTCTTAGCTAAGATTTTAAAATCCATAGCTACTCCCTGTATTTCCTAGCAACTTCGTTTTCACACCTTATGCTATAGCTTTCACACTACAACTTCACTGTAATTATATTTCTTTGCCTTGTTAATTCTTATTTACTTCCACAGTAAGCTCCAGAATAATAATTGACAAGAAGCCGTCTTTAAACTCCCCAGATGAACTCTTCATGAATTTCTCTCTTTAGTGTGTCTAGTTCCCACTTTATAGTACATTGTTCCTTTAGAGCTGTAATCATATCTTATTTGTATTTGCCATGGTTAATGTATAAGCTCATAATTAGTTTTCTTAATTGGCCTGAAACTCAGCATCTTTTCCTTTCCTAAAACTTTTTGATCAGCGTGTCATTCAGCATTTTTAATATTCCAAATGATCACCTCTCTTGCCTTCTAAACCTTTCTGGTTTATTCTCTCAAAATTCTTTTTTTGAGAGCCTGTATTTGCCAGTGTTTGCTCGGCACCATAAAATTACCACTATTTGTATTTACATAGCTTTCAGTGAACATATCTTTAACATTTTCTGTACTCCTGGGCACAGAAGATTTAGTGATTTAAATAAGGCAGCCCTCCTCTCCTGAAAACTTCATTGACTCAAATGAGAGAAGAACATTCAAGTGATCATAAGTTATACGTTACACTGTGCCAGGTAATCGGCTTTCTCCCATTTGACATGAGGTACCTTCATTCATTCGTTTTAAAGTTTTCATATGAAGATTTGATGTGAGCACATCTGTGCTTATAAAAAGGTTATTATTGGCAGCCTTAAATGTGGGCCTGAGAGAAACAGGAAAAAAAAAACTGGGGCTGTTGTAACAATCTTTCATAAAACACGAGGGAAGACTTGATTTTGACAATGGCCATGGGACAAGGATGGGGAAAATATCCAAGATGTTTTATCTAGCTTTCATCTTTCATCCATGTTTCAGTTGTGTATTTTCCCATTGGACTCTCAAATACCTCTACGTGTATATCAACTCAAACTAGAAACAAATAACAATAGACACAATAGCTAATATTTAATGATCCTTTACTCTGTGTCAGTTACACTCACTGCTTTATTTGAATTCACTCATTATTTCTCCAACAACGCTACATGATGGTACTTTTATTATGCACATTTTCTGAAGGAGGAACCACTGCGTTTAGAGTTTCAGCAGCTGACCAGTATCACACAAGATCTGTGTTCTTCTGGGTTTTTGTCTGTTTGTTTTTAACCACAGTACTATACTGTCTGACCCCTGGAGGAGGGCACGGCAACCCACTCCAGTATTCTTGCCTGGAGAATCCCATGGACAGAGCAGCCTGGCAGGGGTGGCAAACAGTCAGACACAACTGAAGTGGCTTAGCAGCAGCAGCATACTGTCAGAAACCTGAATTGTTTCTCTCCTGCCTTCTCTTTTGTGTTCATCGCTTTGTATCACCAGGCCTGCCATCCATTTTTTCACACTGAAAACCTGGATTTTAAAAAAAATGCTGGTGTCTGATTTCAGCTTTTACTCATTTTTCTTTCCTTTTTACTGCCAGAGAAATGTCACTATCATCATGTTACTGAGTTGCTTCGTATCTTTATATATATAATAACTATAATATATATATAACTATATAATAACTATATAACTATAATATATATATCTTTATACATATAATAACTATCAACTACTCAACCAAATACACTGTGGTATAGTTCCCAGCATTCTTGATACATTTTCCAGAATTCCCAGCAACTGGTCCTATCTCATGTATACAACTCTTTCTTCCCCTGATGACCAAGCAAGGACATTTCCTGTCTTCTAGAATTCCTTTGTATTTCATTGCTTTCTTAGTTTTTTTTATTCTGGTCTGAATTTTTATTTATTTTTATTCCTTTCTATAAGCAATACTCTTCTTCAAGATTCAGCTCAACCATGATTATCTTCTGTGAAATTTATCCCGATGTTTGGTTGTTTTTGTCTTAATGTAGGTTCCTATAGCACTTATAATAAGCTGTTTTCTGAATTACCTGTGCCTTTGGTGAGGCGATCCCTGGGTTGGGAAGATCCCCTGGAGAAGGGAATGGCTACCCACTCCAGTATTCTGGTCTGGAGAATTCCATGGACTGTATAGTCCATGAGGTTGCAAAGAGTCGGACATGACTGAGTGACTTTCACTTTCACTTTGGTGAGGCGCTGGTCTCCTGGGTATTGCAGAAAGGTATTGAGCCTTCTCTGGGATCACCTTATCAGAGCTGCATCTTGGGGTTAGTGTGTGTGGGATAGGTTGCCATGTCTCAACTTGGGCATGAATACCCGTGGTTTCTCACAAACAACGTGAGATGGTTTCATACCCATTGTTTCATACAAAGAACATGTAATATTTTTAACAAGGCAATGAAATACACTACAGTTTATAATAACTTTTCCCCAAATCTGAATGATGGTTTTTTCCTTCTGAGATCTTGTTTTTTTAACTTTCCACTTCAATGTAGTTTTGGGGGCTAGAATGCACACAGTATAGGTGGTTTCACCCCATAGCTGTGTTTTTTACCATTACACATCATACTTGATTATATGCAGTACTTTACACAATCAAATAATCATTCTTTCTTTTCAACAATAAGCTTAGAATAGAATCTTACATCCTGCTCCACTCAACTACATCTGGCAAGTGTCAAGTCTAAAATAGAAACATAATAAATATGTTTGTAACTTTCAAATGGGGGCTCCCTATATTACTGCACCATGATAAATCTAAAACAGCTAATGTTTCTGTAGCCCTTCTCATCAGGTAATGTGTACATTTAAGCTGTGAACTTTCTCTAAGTACTGCTTTAGCTATCCACGTTTTAAAATGTAGGACTTCTGTAGTTCAGATCTAAACAGTTTTCCATTGTGGTTTTACATATTTAGAAATGTGTGTTTTCAGTTTCTAAAAGTATATAATTCTGGATAATTTTTAAAATTTTTAATTTTATTGCTTTGTATTCAAATAATATAATCCATACTATATATATTCTTGGCTTTTCTATGCCTCTTTGTGGCCTAGTTTGTGATCATAAAATATTTTTTGTGAATATTCTATGAGTGTTTGGAAAAAAGTGTACATTTTCTGTTTGTGGGTTCAGGGTCTTAAAAGTGTCCATTAAATCAAGCTTGTTAATGGTGGTCAAATCTAAATTTTAATTTGTTTGAATATATCAGTTCCTGAGAAGACTCAATCTCTCACTGTGATGATGGATTTGTAATTTTGTTACCCGGTTTGTTTTGCTATATGTATTTTAAAGATGTACTGCTAGATGCATGAGGATCTATATAATTTGCTTGTAAATCATTCCTTTTATTCTTAAGACCCTCTTTATCTACTGATGCTTTTTGCCTTAAATCTTATTTTTAGACAAAATATCTAGTTTTATCTAGTTGAGTAATCACCAATAGTGATTTCACAAAGAAATAAATGGCTATTTTATGGATCCATTTTCAAAATGGTATTTAAAGTGGAGTTAACTTAATGGTTATATGTGATTGGCAACCATATATTAGAACCTGATCTTGAAAATGAATTATGTGGTCATCTTACAGTAGTCAAATTACTATTCAGATGAAATGATGCTAAAAATAAGTTGACATTTCCCATGTAATGGCACCACTGATTCATGTTCATCACCTGCAGGGAATGCTAACATGAAGATTGTATAATTTATTTCACTTTAGTGTCCTTTAAAACTGTCCAAGCCTATTTAGAAAATAGCAAAGCATGTACCAGCCACATTGACTTCTGTCAGCTTGTCTTCCAGGAACTTGATATGCTTGCTTGACATAAAATAACATGGGCTAGTTTAGATTTAAGATATTAATTCTGTAAGTGACATAACACTTATTTTAGCCAGAACAAAACATGCCA